TTCAATTTTATAATATTTTGTTAAGGATTCCTATGCTTTTTAAAATATGCAACATCATTATATTAGGAATCATATGAGACAAGGTTTTACATTCTTTATTGTGATATAGGCGTGGTATCAGGTGACTTTTGATGTGACTAAGGCAACATTGAGTTAAGGATTTATTCCATTTGAGTTCAGGGGAAAATACTTTTCCAGTTCACATGAATTTATAGTTACTTTATTATCAACTCTCCTGATGTAGGAATATCCCTCTGTCCACTGTACCAATGCATCCAACTTTGTGACCTTAAGGTACAGGGCCAAAAGTCTATTACAATGTGATCTTACTCTAACACTGGTGAAATGGGCACAGTACAGGAGAAAGGTTTGGATGCAGAAACTAGTGTGTGGAAATCCTTCCAAATAGAAATATTTGGCTCACAATATTTTTTTTCCTCTCCAAAGCCCTATTTGCAGTCAACTGAGTAGTTTGGCCTTTCTGATGCCTCCAGAGCTTATCAAGGTGTTTTGTGAAAGATCATTTTCTTCTAGAGCAGCAGTTCTCAACCTGTGGGTCGTGACCCCTTTGGTGGTCGAACAACCCTTTCACAGGGGTAGCCGAAGACCATCCTGCATATCAGATATTTACATTACGATTCATAACAGTAGCAACATTACAGTTATGAAGTAGCAACGAAAATAATTTTATGGTTGGGTCACAACATGAGGAACTGTATTTAAAAGGCCAGAAGGTTGAGAACCACTGTTCTAAAGGGTAACATTTTAGAGGAAAGTTTAAACACAATAAATAGTTTTTAGACCTTTTATGTTCAAATGGGAGTATGAGAACAAATGTACATTAAGGTTAACAAAGTGAGGAGCTATATATATAATTTAAAAATAGAGTTTTTGAATCATACAGACCTGAGTTGAAAATCATACTTGTACTCCTAAGTGGCTTTGACCATGTTTCCATGAACTTTGGTCTACTCTATAAAATGAAGATAAAATATAAATCCCTCAAGTTTGATATATGGGATACATATAGCATTTGTCACTGTGCTTTGAATTATACTGGCTATTGTTATGTAATAGGGCAAAATATCCTATCTAATAAAAGAGAAACATGGTAATTAGCCGTAACTTCGCTACCCTTCCCATTGGCTAATCAGGGCGATATGCAAATTAACTGCCAACCAAGATGGCGGCCAGCAGCCAGGAAGCTTGAAGCAAACAGGATGCTTGCTTGCTTCAGTGACGGAGGAAGCCAACGTTCCCTGCCTGCCGCTGCTGGGCTCTGAGCTTGCAGTTTAAGAAACATTGTTACAAATATAGAAGCTAAACAAAACCCCAGAAACCTGCTTTCAGCCAGCCGGGCCTCAGAGCTGGAGTTGAAACAGTGTTTCATTTATAGAACCCAAACAAACCAGATACCTGCTTTCAGCAACCGAGGTCTCAGAGCTGGAGCCGAGCCTCAGAGAGAAAGCCAGCTCTCAGTTCCAGTGACAGCCATAGAAGGTAAATAAATCCAAGAATAAAAGAAAAAAGAAAAAAAGGACAGGTTGGGATCTTCAGTTGCCCGCCAGCCTGAAAACGGCCCTCAGCCCCTCACCCAGACTGGCCAGGGACCCCAGGGGGGACCCCCACCCTGGAGGGGGTATGACCAGCTGCAAACAGGAATCATCCCCTCACCCAGGCTGGCCAGGCACCCAAGCGGGACCCCCACCCTGATCCAGGACACCCTTCAGGGCAAACCAGCTGGCCCCAACCTATGCACCAGGCCTCTATCCTATATAGTAAAAGGGTAATATGCCTCCCAGCACTGGGATCAGCAGAGCAGCGAAGCCTCCCAGCACCAGGATCAGTGGAGCAGCAAGGCCTCCCAGCACCGGGATCAGCGGAGCAGCAAGGCCTCACTGCCCCTGTGTCAAGCAGAGCCGCGAGGCCTCCCAGCACTGGGATCAGCAGAGCCGCCAGGCCTCCTGGCCCCAGGAGCAGCATGACAGGGGCAGAGCCCAAACCCCCTGATCGCCCTGCGGCTCTGTGTGTGACAGGGGGCAGGGCCACAACCTCCCTATCCGCCCTGCTCTGTTCTGACAGGGGAAGGCGCCCCAACCCCCTGATCGGTTCTGCTCTGTGCCTGATACGGGGTAGCTCCCCAAACCCCTGATCAGCCCTGCTTTGTGTGTGACAGGGTGTGGTGCCCCAATCCCCCCATGGGCCCTGATCTGTGTGTGACAGGGTGGAGCCGCAACCTCCCCATCGGCCCTGCCCTGAGTATGATAGGGGGGAGTGCCCCAACCCCCTGATCGGCCCTGATCTGTGGGTGACAGGGGGCGGAGCCCCAAATCCCTGATCGGCCCTGCTCTGTGTGTGACAGGGGGCAGTGCCCCAACTCCCCTATTGGCCCTACTCTATGCGTGACAGGGGGGAGCTCCCCAACCTCCTGATCAGCCCTGCTCTATGGGTAAAGGGGGCGGTGCCCCAACCCCCCTGAGGGGCCCTGCTCTGTGCGTGACAGGGGGCGGCACCCCAACCCCCCAATCAGCCCTGCTCTGAGCCCGACCAGGGGCTGCACCTAGGGATTGGGCCTGCCCTCTGCCACCCAGGATCAGGCCTAAGCCAGCACATCGTTATCTCCCGAGGGGTCCCAGACTGTGAGAGGGCACAAGTGGGGCTGAGGGACACCCCCCCCCCGCCAGTGCACAAATTTTTGTGCACCGGGCCTCTAGTCCTATCTAATAATAGAGAAACATGGTAAATAGAGCGGTACCTCCGCTACCCTTCCCATTGGCTAATCAGGGCCATATGCAAATTAACTGCCAACCAAGATGGCGCCAGCAGCAATAATAATAATAATAATAATAATAATAATAATAATAATAATAATAATAATAATAATAATATTATTATTATTATTATTATTATTATTATTATTATTATTATTATTATTATTATTATTATTATTATTATTATTATTATTATTATTATTTATTATTATTATTATTATTATTATTATTATTATTATTATAATAATAATAATAATAATAATAATTATTATTATTATTATTATTATTATTATTATTATTATTATTATTATTA